TGGAGCATTGTCCCATGCACCAGAAGGTGGTGAATTCCATTCCCAGGTAAGAAATAATGAAGTGAGCCCTGGACAGTTGCTCAACGGTTAGAGCATTGGTCCAAGGACTAAAGGGTCACAGGTTTGATTCCCAGTCAAGGGCACATATCTTGGTTGCAGGTTCAATCCTCTGAGCCCCAACTGGGGCTCATGCAAGAGGCAACCAATCGATGTGTCTCTCTTAATATCAATCTCCTTCCCTCCCTCCCTTTCTACTTTCCAGTCTCTCTGAAAATCAGTAGAAAAAATATTCTCACGTGAGGATTTTTTTTTAATTTTATATTTTATTTATAAAATTTATAATTTAATTTTATATTTTATTGATTTTCTACAGAGAGAAAGGGAGAGAGATACAGAGTTAGAAACATCGATGAAAGAGAGTCATTGATCAGCTGCCTCTTGCACACCTCCTACTGGAGATATGCCCACAACCAAGGTACATGCCCTTGACTGGAATCGAACCCAGGACCCTTCAGTCCCCAAGCCGACGCTCTATTCATTGAGCCAAACCGGTTTCGGCGTGAGGATTTTTTTTTAAAAAGAAAGTGAAAAGGATTTCTTTTAATGAAAGTGAAAAGGATTTTTTTTTTTAAGTGAAAAGGCAATCCACAAAATAGGATAAAATATTTTCAAATATTTTCTGATAAATATATAGTATCAGGAATACATAACACAAACTTAGTAATAAAAAGATAGTCCAATTAAAATATACACAACTGGCTGAAGCCGGTTTGGCTCAGTGGTAGAGCATCGGTCTGCAGACTGAAAGGTCCCAGGTTAGATCCAGTCAAGGGCATGTACCTTGGTTGTGGGCACATCCCCGGTAGGGGATGTGCAAGAAGCAGCTGGTCGATGTTTCTCTCTCATCGACATTTCTAGCTCTCTATCTCTCTCCCTTTCTCTCTGTTAAAAAATCAATAAAATATATTTTAAAAAATAAATAAAATAAAATATACACAACTGGTTTGAATAGGCATTTCTCCAAAGAAGACATACAAATAGCCAGTAAGCATATGAAAAGATACTCAGCATCTTCAGTCATCAGGGAAATGCATATCAAAACCACGAGATACTGCCGAAACCGGTTTGGCTCAGTGGATAGAGCGTTGGTCTGCGGACTGAAAGGTCTCAGGTTCGATTCCGGTCAAGGGCATGTACCTTGGTTGCGGGCACATCCCCAGTAGAGGGTGTGCAAGAGGCAGCTGGTTGATGTTTCTCTCCATCGATGTTTCTAGCTATCCCTCTCTCTTCCTCTCTGTAAAAAATCAATAAAATATATTTAAAACACACACACACATACACACACACACACACACACACACGAGATACTACTTCACACCCACAAGGATGGCTAGTAACAAAATGACAGATACTAAGTGTTGGAGAGGATATGGAGGGATCCAAACCCTCATGTCTTGCTAACATGGATATAAAAATTAAAATGGTGCAGTTTCCCACTGTGGGAGAAAGTTGCCATATAACCCACCATTCCTAGGTACATACCCAAGAGAAATTAAAATAAAAACATTAAGCTAATGCCCAGTTGGTGTGCTTCGGTGGTTGAGCATCAATCCATAAACCAGGAGGTTACAGTTCAATTCCCTTTGAGGGTACATGCCTTCATTTCAGGCTCCATCCCCAGGAGAATGCGTGCTGAAGGAGCCAATCAATGATTCTGTCTCATCATTGATGTTTCTATCCCTCTCTTCCTCTCTGAAATAAATTTAAAAAATTTAAAAAAATCACTCAGCTAAGTGAAAAAAGCCATACACAGAAGACCCACATATTATATTATTACACATACATGAAATGTGCAGAATAGGAAAAGTCAGAAAGTACGTCAGTGCTTTCCAGAGGATGGGGAAGATGGAGGAGGAGGAGTAACTGCTTGGTAGATACAGCATTTCTTTTGGGGGTGACTAAAAAGGTCTAGAATTAGATAGTGGTTAATATACTGAAAATCAATGGATAATATATTTTAAAAAGATATGTTTTAGCCAAAACCGGTTTGGCTCAGTGGATAGGACGTTGGCCTGGGGACTGAAAGGTCCCAGGTTAGATTCCAGTCAAGGGCATGTACATTGGTTGCGGGCACATCCCCAGTAGGGGGCATGCAAGAGGCAGCTGATCGATGATTCTCTCTCATAGTTGTTTCTAACTCTCTATTCCTCTCTCTTCCTCTATGTAAAAAATCAATAAAAAATATATATTTTTAAATATATTTTATTGATTTTTTTACAGAGAGGAAGGAAGAGGAATAGAGAGTTAGAAACATTGATGACAGAGAATCATCGATCAGCTGCCTCTTGCACGACCCCTACTGGGGATTTGCCCGCAACCACAGTACATGCCCTTGACTGGAATCAAACCTGGGACCTTTCAGTCCGCAGGCCGACGCTCTATCCATTGAGCCAAACCAGTTTCGGCCCAATAAAATATATTTTTTTAAAAACATATATATATCGGGTCTAGTAGTAATTAATATCGTTTTTAAACATTCGTTTAAAATCTTGCTTGGCGTTGACTTGTATTGACATAACCTTCAAACACGTGGTATCTACAGAACGTGTGAAGTGCAATTAACAAGTTTTGCTTGAGCCGGACCAGTTTGGCTCAATGGATAGAGCGTCGGCTTGGGGACTGAAAGGTCCCAGGTTCGATTCCGGTCAAGGGCATGTACCTTGGTTGTGGGCATATCCCCAGTAGGGGGTGTGCAAGAGGCAGCTGATCGATGAATCTCTCTCATCGATGTTTCTGACTATCTCTCTCCCTTCCTCTCTGTACAAAATCAATAAAATATATTTAAAAAAAAAAAAAAACAAGTTTTGCTTGAAAAAGTTTGTGTTTGGTTTGGGTTTTGTTGCAAAACTAGGGCTAAGAAGATGGCGGATGAAGAGCATATTCGGCACTGCATGCTTTACGAGTTCCAATTAGGAAGAAAAGCAAGTGAGGCTGCAAAAAACATCTGTAGTGCTTTTGGTCAAGATGCAGTTAGCACCAGAAAATGCCAGTGTTGGTTTGAGAAATTTCGCGAGGGAAATTTTTCGTTAGATGACAAGAGTGGTCGAGGCCGTGTGTCCAATTTTGATCAAGAAGCTCTTCAAGCTCTTTTGGTGCAAAATCCTCAAATTACCCAGCAAGAGCTTGCGACAACTTTAAATTGTTCCCAAAAAACAATTTCCAATCAATTGCGTGCACTTGGCAAAGTCCAAAAGTTTGGAAAATGGGTTCCTCATGAGTTGACCGACAACAACCGTAATCAAAGAGTCACAATTTGCAGTTCGCTCCTCTCTCGTCAAAACCGTTTGCCGTTTTTAGAGCAAATTGTTACCGAGATGAAAAATGGGTGCTGTATGCTAATTTGAAAAGGAGGCCTCAATGGTTGGACAAAAATGAGGCTCCGCAGCCCACGCCAAAACCTGACTTGCATGCGAAAAAAGTGGTGATGTGTGTTTGGTGGAATTTTAAAGGAATTCTTCATTATGAACTTTTACCATCTAACCAAACCATTACAAGTGCAGTGTATAGTGCCCAATTGGAAAGGTTAGCCCAAGCTTTAAGAGAAAAAGAACCCGTGCTGATTAATCGGAAGGGCGTAATTCTTCACCTCGATAACGCACGACCGCATACTGCAAGAATCACTGCTGAAAAACTGCGCCAGTTGGAATAGGAAGTTCTCCCTCAACCTGCATATTCTCCTGATATTGCCCCTTCCGATTACCATTTGTTTCGTTCTTTGCAAAACTTTCTTCTTGGAAAAAAATTTAATAATGAAGAATGCCTCAAAAATGCATTGACCGAATTTTTTGCATCAAAACCACAAGAATTTTACAACAGAGGGATTAAAATGCTTCCTGAGCATTGGGCACAAGTAGTAGAAAACAATGGCAACTATATTGTTGATTAAATTTTGTTGTATTGTTTAAATAAATTCGATTTTTATGCCGGGACCGGTTTGGCTCAATGGATAGAGCGTCAGCTTGGAGACTGAGGGGTCCCGGGTTCGATTCTGGTCAAGGGCATGTACCTTGGTTGCGGGCATATCCCCAGTAGGGGGTGTGCAAAAGGCAGCTGATCAATGACTCTCTCTCATCGATGTTTCTAACTCTGTATCTCTCTCACTTCCTCTCTGTAAAAAATCAATAAAATATATTTTAAAAAATTCGATTTTTAAAAGTATTAGCAAACGACATTAATTATTACTATAATTATTACTATATATATATATATATATATATATATATATATATATATATATATATGTTTTAGCCCTGGCTGGTGTGGCCCAATTGGTTAGAGCATTGTCTCATGCACCAAAGGGTCACGGGGTTCGACTCCTGATCAGGGCACATACCCAGGTTGTGAATTCAACCACGACTTGTATGGGAGGCAACCCATCAATATTTCTTACATTGATGTTTCTTTCTCCCTCTTCCTTCTGCTCTCTCTAAAATCAATAAAACAAACAAACAAAGGTATATTTTATGGTATGTGAATGGTATCTCAGTTTTAAAAATTCAATCCACATACAACTTTATGCTATTTAAAGTGATACATAGCTAAAACCATTTCTGGTCCCTTGTCCAGAGGTTCTGCTGTCCTTGGCAGAAGGAAGAGAAACCTGGAAATGGCCCCAATCCCACAGGGACACAGAGGTAGAAAATAAGTCACTCCTTCATGAGGGGGAATCATTATCAATAAGAAAGTGACCACTTTAGAGTTTCACATATAACCTTTATTGATTACATTTATAACAGAATCTCACCCGCATTCACAGCAACTCTGTACCACCAAGCATCCCCCGTGAGAAAATACTTGGATTGAGTCTTCAGTGTGAATTATGTGATCTGAGTAAAGAGTGGCTATCTCAGACTCCTTCTGATTTGACAACTTTCATGAAAGACCTTGATTCTGATTGAAACTTTTGTTGATGTTCTTGACACTAGCTGAATATTCCAGCTTCAAACCCCCCAAAATTGGCTGAAAAGCAAAGAGAAAGGCAGTTACTAGGAAGGTCCTCCAGCTGAGCCCACACTCCCCTTGCAGGGCCTGTCAGGAAGCCTCCAAGGGGAGGAGAGTGGAGGGGATGCCATCCAGGTACCAGTGCACTTAGACCTGAGGAGTCTAGGCAGGAGAGGGGTGCAGTGAGGTAACACCAGGGTGCAACCTTAGCTGACTCACTTTTAGCTATGGGACCTCAGGCAAGTCACGCAACCCCTCAGAGCCCCCTCTCTACTTCCAGAACAAGGATAGAGTCCCAGCCTTGCAGAAATAGAAAAGGAATGGAATGGAATGGAAGCTAAAGGATGTCTGATCAAGAAGACAAGCACTTGACTTAGTCACTGTTCCTTGGGACTCCCTGTTAGGAAGGTTCTGAGTGCGCCCACCCTCTCGAGGCCTCTCCAATTCTAGCAAGTCTCTGCCAGGCCAAATGATGGGTGCCAGTGGCTCCTCCTCAGATAAGCTAGCTGTGTAGTTTGGGGTATCTCACAGGGCATCCCACATACATCCAGCCAGGTGAGGTATCTCTCCTAAACAGCTGCTTGGTGCCTGCACTTCTGCGCTAAGAGCCTGCCTCAAACGCAAACACCTGTAAAGGCATCAGCCATTTTCCTTTTGGCCTCCCCTGACCATCTACTTAACAGTCAAGCTTCTTTCTTTGCTTTTCCCAGAGTGGGTGCAGAGGAGTCCAACTAAATTGGACATCGAGTTGGCAAGCATGAAAAGAAAGATGATTCTTCATGAAAAGCAAAGGAAAATCTCAGAACGCTGACCTACTCATGTTTACAGGCCATTCCAAGCTGACAAAGCCCTGCTCTTGGCCCTTCCTGGGGGCACGTGCCCTGAGAGGCTGAGCCCCAGGTCACTTGGAAGTGATTGTGCATCACAGGGTTGTTTACCATCCCAGGATAGACAAGTGGGATACAGGGAAAAGGGACTCCCACTTCCGGCCATAAAAGAAAGACAAAGACAAAGCTAACCTGCCACAAACAACTAGAAAAATGGGGAAATGACACCTACAACTGTTTTTGGGTGCTGGACATTTTCTAGAATATTCCTCTTATTCTGGACGAGACAGAAAATTACAAAGCAAACAAGTCAATACCTGTAAATTAGAATTCTATACATTTACATATTAATATGTATTTGCATGTCTCTATATACATAGATGCAATACAACTCATGAAAAGGAATTAAACTGGATAGGGGTAATGGTTAGGAAACAATGGGTGAACTGGGGTTGAGGTTGGGGGTGGGATTTGGAGAAGGAAGGCTTTCTCAGAGGAGACAAAGGAAGAAGCTGGATAAGCGGAGATGTCTCTTGAACCCCAGAGTCACCCTGAAGGCTTCCTGGAGGCAAGACTAAGCAGGATTCCTGGTGAGAAATGTGGGGCCTGGTGGAGGCTGGTGGGGTACAGATTGGTTAAGAGCTTTCCAACATGCAGCCTCGGTGACTGGGGCGAGGCTCGGGGAGAGGCAGCAGGTCCCACCCCAAAAGTGTGCTCAAGCTCTCAGATCCACTTTCAACCCTGACATGATGAAAATTTATGGGAACTAAAACTGGTGGTCTTTTGGGGACAGGAGGATTTTAGAACTTGGGACAGAAAAGAGGTGAAGAAAGGTGGGAGGCCCAAAGTGTCATGGTTACCACCATCAGCTCTACCATTAAGCAATGGAATGAGAGAAAAGACACCTGCTCTAGGTGTGACCAAGACTCTGGACTTGATAACAACACATAACACTAACCATGGCCATACCCATTCCTCACTTTTTTGCTGAACTACATCCAAGTTCTCTCACATCTTTGACTCAACTATACCCCAGGGAGTGAAACGGGCCTGGGGGCACCTCTGTCCCCATCCAAGCCCGCTTACCGAATGAACGAGATGGCCCTCAAGCCAGCCTGGAGGAAGGCCAGGAGACTGAAGCAGAGAGACAGGAAGGAGGGCTGGGGGGTCACTCTCCTCTCCAGGGCCAGCTGCCCTTCCTGGTGAAGGGCCTGGAGCTGCAGCCACTTGAGAAGAAGGTGTCTGCTGCAGCAGATCCGCCAGCGGTTGTGCCAGGAGTGCGAGTCCAGGGGGGATTCTAGGCAGAGAAAGCGAGTCAGGCCCAGCCTGGGTGTGGGGACAGGCCCATCCTAAGTTTGCATACTGCACACTAGACAGCCCCCAGAACCCAGGGCAGGAAACCAAGTGCCCCAGCAAGGCAGGTCCACAGCCCCAGAGCATGGACACTGTGCCAACATTGATCCAAGATGAAGAGGGCTGTTTACTTATTTCCATGGTGATCATGGGGCCTCCTGGCTGTTTTTTGTCTTTATCTTATAGAGCTGCATACAGAAAAATTTGTGAATGACAGGATATGGAATTTAGTTGGGACATGTTCCCTATATTTATTTGTTTGTTTGTTTGTTTGTTTGTTTGTTTGTTTGTTTGTTTAGAGAGGGGAAACAGGGTGGGTGAAGCTCAGATGAAACCAGGTTGGCGAGGAGCTGATAGTTGGAGCTGAATGATGAAACATGGGGCTTATCTGGGTACTTGAAATTTCCCATATACAAAGTTAACAGCAATCACAACCACCAGTGGGTTTCCTGTGCTCCCATCTCCTTGATGCTCTCAGGTTTCTAGACACTTACTTTGTAAATACACACTTTCCTGTTAATACAACTCATGTATTTACTATACTACTAATGCATTAAAATGTACATTCTAAGTATACTGATATGCAGGTGCACTATTAATATAAAATATAACAAATATATTTTCCTTTTTAAAAATTCTAAGCAAAAGCAAAAGGAAAGAAAAGCACATGAGCCTTTACAAAGAAAATATAAGATGAGAAATACAAATTTTTTCTTTAAACAGAAATCAGTCCTGGCCAGAGTTTCCAAGTTGTTAGAGCATCATCCCACACACCAAAGGGTCTTGGATTTGATTCCCAGTCAAACACACGTATCTGGGTTGCAGGTGGCAATGTGGGAAGCAACCAATCTATGTGTCTCTCTCACATCGATATCTCCCCCCCCCCCACATTCCCTCACTCTTTTCCATTCTCTAAAAACTCAAGTTCCTCTGTATACATACTAATAATTGTACAGTGAGACTGCCCTCTCCATCCTCTCCATTGAACACCTCTGGACTGAATGGGTTTGAGGGCCTGAACATTTATTAATATTATCTGCCTGAACTATAAAACAATGGCTCTAGTAAAAAAAAATAATAATAATGTTTTTGCTATTGCTTTTTAATCCTCATCCAAGGATATTTTCCCCATCGATTTCTAAAGAGTGGGTAGGATGAGGAAGGGGGGAAAAAGAGAGAAAGAAACATTGATATAAGACAGATACATCGCCGAGACCGGTTTGGCTCAGTGGATAGAACATCAGCCTGCAGACTGAAAGTCCCAGGTTCGATTCTGGTCAAGGGCATGTACCTTGGTTGCGGGCACATCCCCAGTAGGGAGTGTGCAAGAGGCAGCTGATCGATGATTCTCTCTCATTGATGTTTCTAACTATCCCTCTCTCCTCCTCTCTGTAAAAAATCAATAAATATATATTTATATAAATATATATATAAAAGACAGATACATTGATTGGTTGCCTCCCTACCTGGACTGGGGAACCTGCAACCAAGGTACATGCCCTTGACCTGAAATCAAACCCATGACCCTTTAGTCTACAGCTGACATTCTAACCACTGAGAAAAACTGGCCAGGTTTTTTATCAATGTATCATGACTTATATGATTCAACAATAAACTAACTGCATGTTTAGCTTTCCTTTTTTTAATGTATTTTTGTTGATTACAGAGAGGAAGGGAGAGGAAGAGACAGAAAATCAATGATAAGAGAGAATCATTGATCGGCTGCCTCTTGCATGCCCCACACTGGGGATCAAACCCGCAACCCAGGCATGTTCCCTGACCAGGAATCGAACCGTGACCTCCTGGTTCATAGGTCGATGCTCAACCACTGAGCCACACTGGCCAGGCTAGCTTTTCTTAAAGGTGTGGGGTATTATTCAAAACCAAAAACAAACAATAAAAATAAACCCATAAATATGTGTGACTATACAGTTAAAATAGCAGTTAGGCCCTAGCTGCTTTGGCTCAGTGGACAGAGCGTCGGCCCAGAAACTGAAGGGTCCGGTTTGATTCTGGGCAAAGGCACATACCTCAATCCCTAGCCCTAGTTGGGATGAGTGCAGGAGGTAACTAATTAGTACATTCTCTCACATCGATGTTTTTCCCCTTCCTTCCACTCTCTAAAATCAATGCGGGGGAAATCCTCAGGTGAGGATTAACAACAAAGAAGCAAGAGCCCTGTTAGGATATAGATAAGGGCTGGATGATGTATGTCTGAGTTGACAGTCACTGGAAACTCATGAGGGCAGGGAGGAAGGTAGGTAAGGGCCCTGCAAAGAGAAATTGGGGTGGGGGTGCATAATTGACAAAGAAAAAAGCAAAACAAAAGCTAAAAATCACTTTACTGCCGAAACTGGTTTGGCTCAGTGGATAGAGCATCGGCCTGAGGACTGAAAGGTCCCGGGTTCAATTCCGGTCAAGGGCATGTACTTTGGTTGCGGGCGCATCCTCAGTAAGGAGGCAGCTGGTTGATGTTTCTCTCTCATCGATGTTTCTAGCTTTCTATCTCTCTCCCTTCCTCTCTGTAAAAAAAAATATCAATAAAATATAGTTTTTTTAAAAATAAATTTAAAAAAATAAAAATCACTTTATTTAAAAAAAAACACCTCTGTATCAGTAGAACAGTAGGACAAACTGTTACACTTTTTAATCCTCACCCAAAGATATTTTTCCATTGATTTTTAGAAAGAGGAAGGGATGGAGAGAAATATCAATGTGAGACAACGATTGGTTGCCTGCTGCACGTACAACCCAGGTAGGTGCCCTTGAATGGGAATCGAACCTGTGACCTTTAAGTGCATGGATCAACATTCTCAGCACTGAGCAACGCTGGCCAGGACCAGGGCTTTTACTTTTAAATTTACATGAGCTTGCTTTTGTTTTTCTATGATACAATGTTTTTTCTCAGGGCAGGGGGTCCATTTCATTGTTCCTAACTGCATTCTCTAGGTGGCAAGTGCCATGTTTCAAATACACCCCCACTGATGTCCATCCTCCCAAAATACTGCTTCCAATATTTTGTCCTGAAAGTCACTGCTGTATACAAGGGTGCATGTGGGAGTGTCCACAGACAAGACCATGTGGGCTTGCTGGATTAAGGGTTCCACATATTATGAAATTTGACAGACAACTCCAAATTGCCCCCCAGGCAAAGGTTGTGATAAATTATACTTCTCCTAATTGTGTTACTTTTATAATCAGGAAAAAATATGAATCTTTTGAAACATGAAGAGATGGGCATGTAGAGTAGTAGCCCTTCACTTCCCAAGCATGCTCCCACCTAGCTTCTCTTGGGCTCTGAGAGGGCCGCTCAAACTACTTGCCCGTCACAGGAGCCCTGGCATCGGGCATCCAACCTCCTATCTCGCTATCCATCCATTTCCTCCCAAGTTTACAGATTCCAACAAGGTGTACTCACTTCTCAGAGCCTGGCTACAGCACACCAAGGGGAAGATGTGGTACAAGCTCACAAAACATGTCTACTCCTTTGCTCACATACAATGCGGAGAAAACAGGTGTGCTGGACATCAGCACCAGAAAGGGTCTTCAAGAGCAAATCCAACCCATTCATTTTAGAGAAAATGGATGTAACAGTCAGGGTGCAGATGCCACCCTTGTATAGTATGACAGGAGTGCATAACTGAATACAGATGCTGGGTCACAAATGGGTATATATTTTATCATGAATATGTACTACTTCATGAACATATGAATATGTATGTACTCTGTCATGAATATATGAATATGTATATTCTAGGTCACAAACATGAATGTATGAAGATACTGTGTAATGAATATATGCATAAATATGGTGGTATGAACAGAGGATGTTATGAATATACAATGTAGAAATGTATATCTCATGAATATATAAATATACTATCATAAATATATGTACATTTTTGACATAGTATGTTTAAAAAAAAAAAAAAACACTTTAAATGTCATCTAACTCCAGATTGCAAACTGGTTTCATCTTAAAAACCAATGTTGGCCTAGCCAGCATGGCTCAGTAGTTGAGCATTGACCTATGAACCAGGAGGTCACAGTTCAATTCCAGGCACATGCCCGGATTGTGGGCTCCATCCCCAGTGTGTGGCATGCAGGAGTCAGCTGATCACTGATACTCTCTCATCATTGATGTTTCTTTTTTTTTTAATATATTTTATTGATTTTTTTGTACAGAGAGGAAGGGAGAGAGATAGAGAGTTAGAAACATCGATGAGAGAGAGTCATCGATCAGCTGCCTCTTGCACACCCCCTACTGGGGATATGCCCGCAACCAAGGTACATGCCCTTGACCGGAATCGAACCCGGGACCCTTCAGTCCCCAAGCCGACGCTCTATCCATTGAGCCAAACCGGTCTCGGCTCATCATTGATGTTTCTATCGCTCTCTCCCTCTCCCTCTGAAATCAATAAAAATGAATTTTTTTAAAATGCTGATATTTGGGTAAAGTCTGAGGCTTCCCTCGTTTAACTGGGAAGACGGTGGGTGATTAATGATGCCTGGCAATAGTGCAGGGGTAGAAGTGCCATGTGTGCCAGTCTGTGGATATCTTTGTGTTACAGGCATCTGGGATAAGAGAAGTCTCCCCATCCCCACCCTGATGGTCATGAGACGCCCCTTCTTTCCCGAGGGAGATTTACCTTTGATGCTTTTAAAACTCTGCTGTCTTTTCGCCACCTACAAGAAAAGCACATGGGCAAAAGTGTCCACCCTGGTGACCCATGGGCGGGAAGGGGGATTTGGTCTGGAAACCACCAAAGAGGCCATGGCCAGTGCAAAACATCAGTGCCCTGGTCTCCTTTTAAAAGGATTCCGGGTCTTAATTCCGGGGACAGTTTACTGCTTGATGGTGGAAAACTGCAACTGGGATGTGGGTAAAGGCAAAAGGAAGCCTCTAATACCTCCCAGGACACCCATGGGATAAGGGTGCCAGGGGCTGAAGAGGGCTGGACCTGGCCAACCTGCGGTCACTGTCTTGTAACCCAGAGCCCTGGGAGAGCCAAACAAAGCAAAGGACCAGGACAGAAACTCAGAGCAATGGTCCTTCCATGATACCCTCCCTCCCGCCCCACCTCTATGCCTCCCAGGGATGGGGCTATAAGAACAGGCACTCAGACAGGCTGAGAGAGCTGGAGGGGGTGAGCGAGGAGGTGGTGGAAAGGAGACAAGATGATGAGGAAGCAAGCAAGGTAGTGGAAGAGTAGGAAGGAGAAGAGGGAGGAGAAAGTGGTAGAAGAAATAGTGGTAAGGAGGGCAGCAGAGACAGGCACTTCCTCAGAGAGCAGTGTATTCCCTTCCCAACCTCCACCAGGACATGAGACCTGGCCCCATCCACACACCACCTCTGTGCTCCTTTGCCACAGCTTTCAGAGGACCGCTCCCCACAGAACGTCAGTAGAGGCCTGTGTGTGGAAAGAATCCAGCACCCACCCCCCTAAAGGCCTGCCCTCACTCTCAGGCTCCCTGCTGTGAGAGCCTCCCTCTTACCTTCTTGTGAGACCTCAGGCCCCGGGGCACCCAGTAGGGCATCACAGCCTGGTCCCTAGGCACCGGGAGATAGCCCCCAAAGCGGTGGCCTGGGCAGAGGCATGGCTTGGTTGATTCAAGGGTGTCAGTCTGGATCTAATGGAGAGGAAGGGAATAGGTGGATGGAGCTGTGCTCCAGACAAACTTAGCCTCAGGGACAGAGCCTGGTCAGCCCCTCTCTACATTCCTCCCACAAGCACACACCAACACCCAGATGAGGGAGGTCTCCCCTTCATGACATTCTGGGGTGGGAGGCACAAGGACAACCATGGTCCCCCTCCCCTCACTACCCACCTGGATGACTGATCTCTAATCCTAACCCTGGATCCTAATGTTTGGCCATAATATCTAGTCTAAACTTGGCTAGTGCTAAGATGGTAGGAGAAACAGTGATAAGGAGGGCAGCAGAGACAGGCACCTCCTCAGAGAGCAGTGCACCCCCTTCCCAACCTCCACCAGGACATGAGACCTGGCCCCATCCACACACCACCTCTGTGCTCCTTTGCCACGGCATCCAAAGAACCCCTCCCCACAGGATGTCAGTGGAGGCCTCTGTGTGGAAAGAACCCAGCACCTTCCCCCTCATCTCTGGGTCCCCCTGAAGGCCCGTCCTCACTCTCAGGCTCCCTCCTGTGAGAGCCTCCCTCTTACCTTCTTGTGAGACCTCAGGCCCCGGGGCACCCAGTAGGGCATCACAGCCTGGTCCCTAGGCACCGGGAGATAGCCCCCAAAGCGGCGATCTGGGCAGGGGCACACCTTGGTGGCATTGGGGGTATCAGTCTGGACCATCTTTTGGATCTAACAGAGAGAAAGGGAGGAGAAGACCCAAAGGTGGATGGAGCTGTGCCCCAGACACAGTTAGTCTCAGGGACGGAGCTTGGTGAGCTCCTCTCTACATCCCTCCCACAAGCACAGGCCAATGCCCCAGCTGAGGGAGCAGGTCTCCCCTTCCAGACATTCTGGAGAAGGAGGCACTAGCATCTCCATGGTCCCCCTGCCCTCACTACCCACCATGCACCTCTGAATGCAGTGGGACTCTGAATGGCGAGTGGTGCATGGGCAGGACACACAGGTTGGAGCCGAGAGACCTGGCTCTGTCCTGAGCTTGGTGGCCTCTAGGAACAGCCCTTGGGCACAACATTCTGCCCCCCTAAGTGTCAGCATTCTCAGCCGTAAAGAGGACTTTGCCAGCATTTGGCAACATCCATCAGAATCTAAAATGACAGTCTTCGGTCCAGCATCCCAGGACTTGTGTACATTTACAAAATGTGTGCACAGAACACTCACTGCAGCATTGGCTGTTGTGACCGAAGAGCCTGAATGCCCATCTAAACAGAACAATAAGTGATGAGAGGAGGGGACAGAGGAAATGGGATGGGCTTTGGCAACAACAAGATAGTCTAGTCTGTCAGACATGATGTTAAGTGGGAAATACAACACTATAAGCACATCACTGTACCATTTGCAGTTTTAAAGAATATATGTGTAATATTGCTTGTGTATGAGTTGTGATGGGCCACATCCAATTCTTCACCCTTTCCCTGCAGCCTCCCCTTTGCCATGTGACTCTGCAGGTCCTTCCAGCAGGGACAGGGTAGACACCACCCCTCAGCTTTGGTTAGACCAGGGTGGCCAGCAGAATGAGGAGGAAGAGCCAGATCTGGACCTGGGCCAAAGGATCCTCAGCGGTTTCCAGCTGCTCTTACTCATTTGTCATTGCCACGGGAAGACCATGCCTGAGCAAGCCCACCAGCCTCAAGATCAGATACACAGAGTGGGTCTTAAAGAAGAGGCTGGACCTTTTCCATGGCGGGAGGGTTGGAATTGGGACATTGGGGACCCAGGGGCACTCTTTTGGTTTTGCATCTGGTGCCCCAAATCACCATGTCACACCCTCCCATAGGTGGGTCTCTTGAATGTCTTTCTAGAGATCCCATCGAAGAGCATGATTTCCACCAATAGCAGATACACACAGAAAATCTCCAGGACACATAGAAAGCCTTGGGATAGGGAATGGGTAACAGGAAAGGGGGCGGAGGCAAGCTCCTCTGTACTGTTGGAATTTCCAACCATATGCACGTCACACATCATAGAAAACAATCAAAACTACTTTTGAGTGATCCTGTTGACTTCCCAAAGCTGCCAGGAGCACCAAACAACCTGTATGAGATGTTCTGCAAAGCACAGATGACTCTGCGGGGGAAAGGCTGAGAGGATCTGAGGGCTTAGGCAAACGAGAAGACCTACCAAAGCCTGGGGCACTCAGGACCCTCCCCAACCTCTACACTTCTTGCCACCAGGGCATGGACACCACCCCCTCGCCTTGCCTGTGACCCCTTTGCTTGGCAGGATGAGGACACACTGGCCAGTTCTACCCAGTCTTCTAACCACTTGCTGAGTGCATGCTCCGTGCCAGGTGCTGCGCTAAAAGCACATGGAACCCCATCCTGTCCACTGAGGGTCACTACACCACACCATCCATGGGAAATAATAAATGCCGGGATGACAAGGACCAGGAGCTAGGAAAGCATTCCAAATCAGAGGAGGGTTTCCAAGAAAGTGTCACCGCACCACGTCCCAGGGGGCTGGCTAGTGGAGAAAGCAGCAGAAGAGCATGAGCCTATTCCACAGCCCTCAAGGATGTGGATAACAGCACTAACTTCATGGGCAGAACTTAGAGTTTGTCCATGAAGCAATCTCTCCTCCCTCTTATTAAAAGAACCCAGTGTCCTAGTCAGTTTGGCTCAGTGGATAGAACATCGGCCTGCGGAATAAAGGATCCCAGGTTCAATTCCAGTCAAGGACACGTACCTTGGTTGCAAGCTTGATCCCCACCCTGGTCAGGGTGCATGCAGAAGGCAACCAATCAATGTATCTCTCTCACATCGATGTTTCTCTCCCCTAACCCCCTCTAAAAATCAATGGGGAAATATCCTCAGGTGAGGATATAACAAAACAAAAAACACCCATTCATATAATTCTGATTATATGAATCAGAACTTATGATTCTAAGGAGTGACTGGTCCCCTGAAGTTTACCCTGGACTCAGATGAAGAATCCCTGGTTCAAGTCACCTACCTGCTTTTGGGACCTCAGGGACAGAGGGACCCAGTAAGGTAGTGCTGCCTCAGCCTGGGGCACCAGTAGGCGGTCCCCAAATCTGGACTGGTACTCACAGCAGAGGGGTTCTCGGTGAACAGCACTGGGGACAGGACACATCTGAGCAAGAGCCAGAAAAGACAATTGAATGTGATGCTGCATTTGTAATGTGGGCCAAGGAACTCTCTGGAAGAGTAAATCAATGCTCGGAGAGAGCCAGGGTTGAGGCAAGGTGTCCAAGGGCAGGGACAAGGCCTCATGTCCTATTGCAGCTCAGAAAGAGGCAGGTACCATGGCTTGTCCTCCCAAGTCATTTAGTGGGGACAGCCAGAGCCTGCAGACAGGTGTGCTGGGACTGGTGACCGCTTACTGCTGCACTGCCATGAGAAATACAACCAGCTCTAGCAGAGAGGTGATTGCTCTTTGTCATTCTGCATACAATGCTTTCCACTTGCAAAGGCTTCTGCATCCATCCAGTGTGATCCTGCCCACCCACGAGCAGAAAGGAGGGGAAGGCATCCTCTTCAGGGCAGATGAAGGGGCGGATGCCCAGGGCAGGTACATTAGAAGGCGATGCTGGTTCCCCCGAACCTCCTGAATCCCTGTCTCGGTGTCATGAGGAATTGTGGGCTAGGGATAGGCAGTGGGTGACACTACATAGAGATTTGGGGGGGCTCGGAGAAGGCCCCTATACCATGAACTTCTGGGTATGACAGATCCTCTCATGAATGCTACTTCTGAACCTACCTTCTCTGCTCTCCCCACTCCACAGGGGTGTGTTGGGGTTGGGGTAAAGCAGACGAGGGTTTGCTTTCCTTACCAAAAGATCTGTGAGGCACACTTCTTTCCCGAGGGTTGGAAATGTGCTCTTCCTAGGGAAAAAGAGCAGGAGGTTTAGAAAGTTCTGGGTTTTGTGTAAATTGGATACAGGAGTGCTAGGGTGAGGGCCTGGGCCGCCTTCTGAGAACTGGCTCATATCATTAAACCCAGGGGTGTGAGGGGTCATCCTTCTAAGCCTTAAGAGGGCATCTGGGGTGATAACAAAAAGTGTGGTGGGCTCCTGTGCTGTCTGGGGCTCCTGGATGTTGGGTTAATATGGAACCCTGCATTGCTGAACCTATTGCTCAGGCACACGCCAGCGAGGCCCTTTGGGGAAGATAGGAACATTCCAACCTGGTGAGCACTTTCCAAGACATGGAGCTGCCAAACACACCTGGGATGCTTTCTGTCGCCCCCTCGCTTACTTAGAATACTGAAGGAAAACATTGTCAAAACCACATTTAACTAAATTCCTTCCAGCATAGAAACCTGGGTACTTGTTCTCTGGGGTGACTCTTACTCTTCCTCACTCTCCCACCGCTTCCAACAAATTGTAGAATGCTGCCCACCTGGAATCTCCAGTGGCATGAATGGGATGTGTCAAAGATGTTCGGTAATATGGAAACTGTAAATGATTCAAATGTTTTTGAGTTTCATTATTATCGTCATTATTGCTACCTTATCTGAAAACCAGAAGAGCGATACAAGTGTTTTTGTGTTTCATTATTACCACAACCAGCTCTGTTCGTGTGGTGCCTATGGGCTGAAACCCCCGCCTCCCAGGCCAGAAGTCCGGCCCAGCCCCTCTGAGAAAGGCCCGCACTCAGAGAAGCAAAGCTGGGAGACAAGACCAACATCCTTGGCCGCAGTTCCTGAGCACGTGGATACAGCCACGCCTGAAGACCTCCACTGACGTCCTCAACGGAACGGCAAACCGCCCTTCTGTGCTCACATTCTGTGCTCAGGTGTGGTCTCGGCCCTGCCTACGCGATACAAGCTACTGCGAGGGCAGGGACCAGGGGCCCGGGGCGCCCGGGCCAGGCCGCCGGCGCCGGTGTGAAGGCGCCCTCACAGACCCAACGGCCGCAGGGCCGGCCGGCTGAGCGGCCGCCGAGAGGGGGCCCCTGAGACGTGGTGATGCTCACGGAGACGTGGTGATGAAGGCGGAGACTAAGACGCGGGGCACTTGGCAGGCGGGTGGGAGCTCCCTCACACATACTCCTCCTCCGACCGCGGACCAATCCCCTTCTGCCAGCCGTTGTTCTGGGTCCGCCCTCCCACACGCCCGCCCCTCTGCGTGCCCCGCTGATTGGCGCTTCTTCAGCCAATAAAGCGCTACCTTCTCGGCACTTAGGTGCCTAGAAAGCGCTACCTTCTAGGCACGTGCACTTAGCTGGCGGCTGATTGGTTCCTAGTGGAACTGACCTCGGGGTTGGAGGGTCACCTGTGGGACTGGGTGATCCTGGAGTGGAAAGCTCAGCAAGCCCCACGCGGGTGCCCACGCGCCACCTGCGACGGATAGCCCGCGGGGGACGCAGCGGTGGTTGGGGAGTTGGTAGTGGGGGGGTGGGGGCGGGCGGGGCGGGAGAGGGGTCTCAGAGGGCCGTGCAGATGCGGGCCAGGGCTGGTTTCCGGGATGCATGAGTTTATCACACGCAGGACTTGGCATATACTTGTATTTAAAGCTGTTCATTGTTTTTCTAAAATTTAGACTTAACTGTGCACCCCTCATGTCATTCGCTGAGTCTGACAGCCCTACCGATGGGCTCAAATTGTGGCTTTTAGAGAAATGTGTGCTTGAGAAACCTGAGGTTTAAAAGGCCGTGGAAGTCAAAACGGCTGCCACCCGAGGGTCCAGCTGCTCTTTTGACCCTTTGGTCTCGTTTCCTCTGCCCCTTAGTCTCCCATTCCTCCACTTTCACTCCGTGCACGGTGCCCCCGCTGAGCATTTGCTAAAATGAAAGCAGGATTATATCTTCACATTTTCGTAAAACCAAATACATTCTGCCTCTATATGTTCCTTTATCACAAACTTCAATTTGTATTTTTTGGAAACGAGTTTTTGTTCACTTTTCACTATTTTCATCTGACTTTAATACTCTCAACATCAATATTTATCCAAACCATCATAAAAGGAACTATAGCCCTGATGGGCATTCCACCCCCACCCCCACCCCGATCCCTGTGTTGCACTCTAACCATGGAGCAAACAAGGGTGCTCCCAGGCACTACTCAGCTTTTTTGGCTCTGCTATTTAACCATTAAGGTCGAGACTGAGCAGGACTGAGCAGTACACACGTGAAAGTTCTCCTGGCCAGCACCCATGCTGATTGGACAGTGCCCCTACCTTATTAAATGCTAATATCTCAAACATTACCCCCTGTGTCTGTGGTTGTGTCATCACTGGCCTCTTAACAGCTAATGAGAAAATTATCCAGGGCTCATCATTAGCCGAGCATTTTATTTACAGCTAGCTGTCTTGTTTCTGTCCACCTTTGAGTGCTCTTGGGCTTCCCTGCTATTTCCTTTCTAAACCCTCTGGAACATGACTATAGCATGGAGGACAGGCTCATGATCCTCCCAAGCTCTGGTCCTTACCACTGAGATGCTGTCTTGTTTTTTCATGTTAAGAACAGCTCATCACTGCCCCTATCCCCACCAAGAATAGCTAAAATTAAAAGGACTGAAGATACCAAGTTTTTTAGGAAGTAGCAGGTGGAACCCACATACAATGCTCATGAAATAGATACAACTGTGTTGGGCAAACTGTTTGGCAGTATTATAAAACCTAAACATGAATGTTGGATAACAAGGAATTCCTTGCCCAGGTATACACCCAAGAGAAATGAGAGCATATGTCCACCAGAAAACATGGGCAAAAACATCCACAGCAATCTTCTGTTAACAGCTCCAAACTGGAAATGAACCAAATGTCCAAGAAGAAACATTTTTAAAAATATTTATGGCACATTCGCATAGAACACACACAATCGCAGCCCCCAACAAAGTAGATGAATAAAGCACACACAGAAGCCAGACCCCCAAATGTGCATGTGATCCCACCTGTACGATGTCCAAAGCCAGGAAAGCAAAACTACCGTACCAGCTGGTGATCCAAGGAACGCCCCACCCACCCAACCACAAGTGTTCAGAATAACAAGGTCCTGATCCCAATCCTCGCCCAGCCTGTTGGATCTAAGTCCTCGCCTGCCGCCTGGCCTGGTCCACCAGGTGCTAGCAGACACACTCTGAATGACTGAGCAAGGGACCTGTGAAATCCTGTGTATATCAGGCAAGTCTCCTAACTTTTCCAAACCTCAGTTTCAAAGGGAACCAGTAATAACCATAGAACTGATCCTACAGGAAGTTTGAGAAGATGAGGTGAGACAGAGCATGAAAGGTGCTGGAGACCCAGGCACATGAATCGTCAGTACCTGAGTGTATTTCCCCCACATTTCCCTCTCCTTTCCCACTTCAAGCCACTGTCACAGGAGGGAAGTGGGACAGAGAAGCCTGCGCTTGCCAAGCATTTCTGTGCCAGGCTTTTGTTTCCAAAGTTCCCAGGAAAAGGAAGGGGGAGAAGAGTGAGGGCTCTGAGTCCCTGAATCGTGGTGCAGTTACTGTGCAGTATGTTCACCAACCAAGGGTCTCTGCCTGAGAGCACGAGGGGGGCCTGAATTTAGCCTGCGCTTAGCCTAATTAACCTGCCACAGGTGTAGAAGAGGAGTTCTACAAATCTAAATCCTGGATTAAGTTAAAACATGATTTTTAAATAAAATCTAAAAATATAATTTTTAAGATTTCATGTTCCTTATCGGGGGCCTTCTGAGTCTCGGAAGTTAAAGTATCCCTTTCCAAGCAGGTCATGTAGTGGGTCTGGGTTAACACCAGATGCCACTAATTTGCATTGGTGTGTTTTGTGATAATGGCTCCTGTATATAGGATGCTCACTTTCTCACCCATCCTGGGGCCTAGATTATGTGTCCAGTGCCCACTGGTGGATATCATGTGCAATTCTGCCAAACTCTTACCCTTTCCTCCTGGGATCACGGGTTTCATGGTCGCCTTTTAGTCTGTGATGTTCTAGTGTTCTCTCTTCAGTGAGCTGTGTAACTTCTGCATCTCGGTCTCTCTTTTCTTCTCTGTATCCTCCTGCTGTGGGATACGGAGCTCACTCTCACCCTCCTCCTGACTATCATCAGAGCACTGTGACAACCAGACTTGGAGAGTTTGTTCATTTCCAAATGACTGTCACCATTGCACCCCTTTCCCCTCACACCAAGCACCCACACCCTAGTGCT